CCCCACTGTACTGATGTGATACACCACAACCGTATTGACGTGATACACCACAACCATCCTGACGTGATGCACCATAACTGTACTGACGTGATGCACCACAACTGTACTGACGTGATGCACCACAACTGTACTGACGTAAATGCACCACAACTGTACTGACGTGATGCACCACAACTATACTGACGTGATGCACCACAACTGTACTGACGTGATGCACCACAACTGTACTGACGGTATACACCACAACTGTACTGACGTGATGCCCACAACCGTACTGACGTGATGCACCACAACTGTACTGACGTGATGCACCACAACCGTACTGACGTGAATGCACCACAACTGTACTGACGTGATACACCACACCTATACTGACGTGATACACCACAACTGTACTGACGTGATGCACCACAACTGTACTGACGTGAATGCAACCAAAAACCGTACTGACGTTATCACCACACCTTACTGACGTGATACACCACAACCGTACTGACGTGATACACCAACACCTATACTGACGTGATACACCACAACTGTACTGACGTGATGCACCACAACTGTACTGACGTGATACACCACACCTATACTGACGTGATACACCACAACTGTACTGACGTGATGCACCACAACCGTACTGACGTGATGCACACAACTGTACTGACGTGATACACCACAACTATACTGACGTGATACACCACAACCGTACTGACGTGATTCACCACAACTGTACTGACGTGATGCACCACAACTGTACTGACGTGATACACCACAACGGTACTGACGTGATGCACCACAACCGTACTGACGTGATGCACCACAACTGTACTGACGTGATGCACCACAACTGTACTGACGTGATGCACCACAACTGTACTGACGTGATGCACCACAAACTGTACTGACGTGATGCACCACAACTTTCAAACCTATGATTGTTTGTAACCTTTTGCTTTATCGTTGTTACGCCCTTTGCTCATTTTAAGAAATAGATGATATATTTATACGTGTTATTTTGGCTTTTCACTTAATATTATATTAAGGAGTATCTTCATAACAACTAAAATGAATTTACACAGCTTTATAATATTATCTGGCCATAAATATATGTAGCTTTGTATGTAGGTAGGATGTTTCAATGTTTTAAACTACTAGTGTGATGAGGTGAAACACCAGGTGACAGTTCGAGTTACTCAACCCCTACTCAGACCGAGCTAAGGTCTGGTGTTAAAACCTTACCTAGAGTATTTCACACCTTCCACTTGTCGAGGGAAGATCTGGTGGAGAATCTGGCTTTAAGTCACATAAGAACATAACAAAGAAGGAACACTGCAGCAGGCACGCTACACTTCCCCAGAAGTTATCAGGAATTTTGGAAGCCCTTTGCTATGGTATATCTCGGTCTGAGAAGGTAGTTGAAAAACTCTTGAGGAAAATAGGATTAAGTGAACGAGTCTAAGCGTTACGCCGTTTAAGACTGATATAGAAAAGGATTATTATAGGATGGTCCCAGAGGAAAAACTCTAGTTATTTGCATCATTGTGGCGTTTAAGTTTGTAAAACGCCTTGTATGTACACATTTATTTTTGACTCATTGTGATTGAGTCTAGAAACTCTGTCTAGAGCTGGTTGTAAATATTTAACGTATTACAGTGATGTTATAATAAGGCTAATGGTATATGTTTTTACTCAGAGTGACTACGATATGAGAAGTTCTGTTTTAAAAGATTGAATTATTTAATTCATGATAGAAACCGTAAGTGATTATTAGTGTAGTTAATAAAACAAGCAGTAACTGTGAAGATTCCTTTTCCTCAATAAGTGAACCCTGTCTATGATTATCTCTAGACGAGATAATTCTGTTCTTTTCATATGAGTTTGTTTCGTGAGGCATTATAGTAAAGTAGTCTACAGGTCCTGTTCGTAACCATCATTCTCTAGTTCATTCCACTTCTCTACTGCCATGTCAATGAATGAATATTTCCTGAAGTCTCCTTGACCCATCTACATTCTCAGCTTCCACAGGTATCCCATCGCCCCGATTCTGCACAGTATGTATAATGTGTGTCGACGTTGTTTATGTCGGAGTATTTTGCATTCATCATGTCTCCTCTTCGCATACGCTCATCAAGGAACATAGAATTAAACCCAGTGTGACACGTAGCTGTCATACAACACCTGAGGAGTGGAAGATGATTATAACTGGTCTAAGGGAAAAAGCAGTTCCAGTTCCCTGACTCAAGAGCCCTTTACCAACAGGGTCTGGTAAAAAAACAGGGAGAACTTCGAATTGTTTAGATCGAATTACATTTAGCAATTATTTAATAATCATATTTTGGGAGACGAATGGTTTTCCAGTTGAAATTTTGTAGAACTTGAAATCAAACGACTTCGAAATTGTGAAAGTGAATGATTGATGATGCACTGTTGCTGACAGTGTGTGTCGATCATTTGACGAGATTTTCGACGAAGTTGAGTCAAGTGACTGACGTGACTGCAGAGATCGTGGAGCTGAGCAACTACCTGCACATCTGCTCCTCCCAGACCATGACACAGCTGCTGCAGGAGATACAGAACGCTACTGACCGTCTCATGTTCCTGCTGCAGGTAGGTCGCCTCTGTTTGTCCTCCAGCTTCGTAGCTATAATAACATCGATAAATACATGCAATGTGTTGCCAGGTGTATTGGGGTTGGCGGGAGGGAACCATCACTTCAGATGCCAACCTAGTCATGAATATCATCGCAGGGGGTAGAACCCGGTTCAAGCCGTGTCTGTAAGCATACATGCATTTTCAAGTTTATTCCTTACATCGAGAGGTGTACAGTATTTTTCTCACTGCATTCACAATTAGTTTAATTTAATTCCTCATTTTTCAGGGACTGATTAAAGTATTCTTGACTAATGGTGTGCAGGTTAAATGTTTCCCTAATAATCATCGTGTAGTCTAAGGGTTTTATCCCAGTTTGCCAACCAATCAACTCAATCAGGCACAAAAAAGTATATATAGGTCCAATTATGTAACTTGTTGCCATTGTAGGTGAGAGAAACTCTAATTGTAACTCCTGTGTGTATGTGTGACAGTTCGGGCGGGTGCCAGAGGACCAAGTTCCACTTATCAACAGAATGTACGCCTGGCCACACAAGATCCAGGAAGACTTCCGTCTCGCCGAGACGCGACTCTCACACAAGCGCGACTTGAAGGAGACAGCACTCAAGGCTCGCGTCGCCAACTTTGAGAAGACGTGAGTGTTACTAAAGTGAATCCTGGTGGTGCTGTACAGTGATGGAACTTCCAGAAGGGAGAGTGTGCCTTGATGCTGGTAAAGAGCTCTTGTTCAACATCTGGGTATCTTGATTTGTAGACGTCTTGCCAACACGCGCAACATTTGTGTAATTCCTCATCTTGTTGGTATTGTATACCCTTGGACAAAGTAATAATGTACTGTGACGGAAAGTAGATTTGTTTGCTGTTATCTCACGCTAGGTTTCTCCTTGAATTTTTATTTGTTCTGCAGGTACAGATGTTGATATAAATACTAAACACCCCCAGCTGCAGGAAAACACATGCAAACATATGCTCATATACTTAATTTTGTATATTTTTGTATTTTTAGTTCAAACATTTCCGTGATCACTTTTGTACAATAAGATGTTGGTTATTAGCTGCGAACTTTCCTATAGCAGTAGTGATTGTCTTCAGCTACTAAAAGAAAGTTTGGATCTTTAGCCTTATTGTGAAATAATATTTCTCTCTCTCAATCTCTCTCTCTTTCTCTCTCACACACACACACACACACACACACACACACACACACACACACACACACCACAGGCTACAAGTATACAACAAGGAACTAGAAGATCTTCGGGGTCGTGACAACTTTATTATGAAGGAGATTCGTGTTGAAAACCATGAAGAGGAACGTGGAGATGCTGGAGCGTCCACCACTCAGTTCCAGGAAGCCAGAGCTGAGCTGCAGGTAGGTTGTGTGCTCACCTATAAGTGGTTTTTAGCTCCTGGCCCCACCTCTCAACTTGCCGCTTGCCAGAGTCACTCTCTCCCAGCCTCGTGGGCCCTGTAGTGCATGTTATTAAAACTATGTATGGAATCTGCCCCCACCACTTCTTCATCGAGGTCATTCCACGCTACACCACCCTGAGACTGAAGAAATACTTCCTGACATCCCTGTAACTCATCTATAGCCTCAAACTGTACCTATGTATGAAGTGGGATGTTAGTATGATGTGGGACGTTTGTATGAGATGGCTTTTGTGTGTGAGATGGGTTGTGTTGTGGGTGTACAATAACACACATGAAAGTACACAAACAGCTTCAAAAGAGTTTTTAAGAGATATATGACCTATAATAACTCGTTTATTGAAATAAAACTTACATAAGCTTTTATAAATTTCTCAGTTACAAATATATACTGTATGATAGGCTACTATAAGTAGGTTCCATTAGTTTTAAATAAACTGGAAGACCAGATTAAAGAAAATAAAGAACTACCTGGATACAAAATAATCAAGAGAGTTTGATCCCAAGGAAAATTCCTTATTTGTAATGCGAAATAGTAATAAAATAGTGTCTTAGCCCTATAAAAAACTGATACTATTCTTATTAGAAACTCCTAAAAGTATGATGGGAAATTGGGGATGTGTGGTGCACCCTTGCCTATTTTTTTTCAGAATTTTGAGAATAAAAATCTCATTTTTTATAAATCCTCCCAATGGAGGACAATGTTCTCCATTGCATGTATTTTTTTTTACGCATATCAATTATACAGGTTAAGAGCTGTTATTTTACCTCGTCTTATTTCAAAACCCCGCCCTATCTAAGGTATACTACCGTCCCTCAGGATGCCACCCACAACAGTCAACTAGCACCCAGGTACCTACTTACTACTAGGCGAACAGGGACAGCAGGTGTAAGGTAACATGCCAATCGTTTCCACCCGTACCAGGGATCCAACCACGGACACTCACTGAGTGACCGAGTGCGTTGTCAACGGAGCTACGGTGCCCTAACTTGGCGTAAGCCTCAAAGAAATCCCCGTAACGGGAACATCTATGTACTCTATAATGTAGTTACTGTGAGCTAAAGATTTTATTTCTTTAGGCCATCAACGAGGAACAAGTCTGCTGAGCTGGGAGATGACCAAATTCCGCTCTTGCAGTCCATGATCTCTCTGAAGGAACCTTACGACAAGCTGTGGCACACCACTTACGATTTCCACCAGAAGTACGGCGGTGGTTCAATGGTAAGTCTTTCAACACCCGGATATTTGTGCTCTTTGGAAGAATCATACTCTCTGTTTGGATATTTGTGGTCCTTGAGAGAGATAGATATATAGAGAGGTAACAGCTCTTAGCTTGCAAATAAAGACAGGAAACTCTTAACCTAACCTTGTAAAACCTTCTCAAGAGAGTATACCCTCTGCCTCTATACCTCCTGGATGTTTGTGATTCTTTAGAGAAAGTGTGGCCCCCTTTAAAGAGTTCTACCCCTTTTACACTTACTCGATATGAGTCGTCAGTTCCCAGTCAATACACTTTCAGTAAGTAACGTGAATTATTTCTAGGTCTCCTTACTCTTATTTTTGTAGTTTAAATCTACTTTATAATAATACTTAATAGATTAGCTACATTTTTTTCGACTTCACGCTAAGCCTCTCTTCAGGTAATTAAAAAAATGGGGTTGAAGGAATTAAGACTTTTATGTTACATTGACTTCAGGGTCTCGGAAAAAACTTTTAACGGGTTTTCGTTTCGCACTCATACAATTGTACAGTGGTACCCCCATGGATTGTGATTATAATCACCCGAACCACTGTTTTTTTCCCCCTAGGTTTATGAGGTTTCATTATATAATAATCATGAAGCCTATTTTACATTTTTCAGTTTCCTGAACATGGTCCTTAGACTCCTTACCTACGAGTGAGTCCATCACATTGTCACTCCATTATCTTAATACACCCTCCTCGTTAACCATTGTTACTGACCATCCTCGCTAACCTTCCTCACTATCCGTCCTCACTAAATATTCTTGCTAACCTTCCTCACAAGCTAATCTCGCTAGCCATCTTCACTAACCCTCCTCACTAACCTTCTTTACTATCCTACCTCGCCTGTTTCCACACCAGGTCCCTTCATCGGACTGGACGCAGAAGCCATTAGCGAGGAGGTGGAGGCCATGTGGAAGACTATGTATAAGCTCACCAAGACCTTCTTGGACCAGGTTTGTATTCACACTCCTTTAAAGCTCTTAACAATGTGAGTGAAGCTCATGTTCATCCCATAACCTGGCACGGAGTATGCTGTCGTTTGATTGCGTGCGGCCAGCAGTAACATCATGGTCGATCAGGCCCTGATTTCCCGTGCGAGGCCTGGTCATGGACGGGCCGCGAGAACGTTGACCCCGTAATACCCTTCAGGTAGATTCCCCTCCAGGTATGGACTTTCAAATTATTGTGTATATTTATACACTAATTTAAAAGTCATTACCATTAAGGTTGTTGCGTCTGGAAGTAAATTGCCTCATTATCTTGGTATTATGTATTCCCTTCCAGCTTGTTTTCCGGTTTGCCGTGTACTGAATATTCAGACCGATTGGTGTGTATTTCAGTGTATACATACCAAAAGATACATACCTTAATGTATATAATTGAAATTAGTCACATTAAATAGACAGAAAGCACAGTTCAAGTAGCCATGACGTCTATGCCACCAAGAAAATTAAACAAAAAGAGTTATAATTCAAAGCCTAAGTAAAAATGTATTTACATGCTTACTTATCTCTGTCTATACAGAGTGGTGTGTGTCTCGGTGTATATACTGTTAACCATGAGGTTAGTATCTCTGTGCATCAATTCAATTCTTTAATCAGAAGTTTGGTAAGGTTTGGAAGGAAGAAGGATGGGTAAGAATGGAATGTGGAGGAGGGGTAGGTGGGGGTAAGGAGACGGGGGATAATAAAGGTAAGTGGACCCAACCACTATATCGCATATTAATGTAGGTTTGTGTGTGTGTTGTGTTAAGCATAGTAATCAGATGATCGTGTATACCACACTACCCATAAGAGACACACTTGTATACGAGATGCATACGTGCAGGGAAGCGCATTGGTGATACGTATGTTTGTAATTGCCTTTTTTTTTCGCAGGAGGCAAGTTGCTCGGGCTAGTTGTAAAGTGTTTGCTGGAGCTGGTGGTCGGCTGATCTGAATCTGGGGCGGTGTCCTGCTAATGGCGGTTTTTCAGTTGCTACTTGGTTAGATGTTAGGTATCCAAAGTAAGGACTGTTTTATGTCTTAAACGTAGATTGGCTCTGGTGGTACCGATTCTTCTGTATCTTCAGGTATATCACTCTGAATCTTTGGTCTTGGGAAGTCCTCCTTGTGTATGAAACGTTGGACGTTTTATTGGAGGGACATCCTATGGGGAGGTGTATTGATGTAGTCAGTTCTTAGTTGGCTGGGTGGGTTTTCTGTCTGGTATATAGTTCTTGCATGGTATATAGTTGTTGCTTCTTTGTCTAGCCTGACATTTATTGCGTCGATCTCGCTGGATGTGCAGATCTTCCATTCTTTTTCTGTCCTTAGTTTGGTGCCTGTGATAAAGCGGAGGGCCATGCTCTGGACTCTTTGCTGATAATGCTGATGAGGACCTTGTCAGGATTGGTCGTGATTCTCCATTTCTTCTCCAGGTTGCCTGTTCGCAATTCCGTATTCATTTTATCTCTCACACTCTCTCATGCCTGTTGTTTCTCTATGCAGGAGTAGATGATACTACATGGATAACATCGTCAGCAAATTGGATAATGATAGTGTCATTGTATTCTGGTTGGGGAAAGTCATTTACACTATGCTGAATAGAATAGAGCTCAAGCACGATCCCTGTGGCTCTGCCGTCTTGCAATTGAAGGTGGGGATGATGCTTCTTCTTGTTCAGAAGTTATACATAAGTCTGAGAAAGGTCCAGTTATGATCCGGGAGGTCAACAAGTTTGAATATAAGGCCGTCGTGCCACAGGCTGTCAAAAACTTTGTGTACATCCCGAGTCGCAGTCAGGGCAAGAGTTCCCCGTTTCCGCAGGCTGTCCACTACATCGAAGACGATATTGATGGAGTGTTGGTTTCCTCGGTGGGTGCGAAAACCAAACTGTTTCAGTGAAGAGGTGATTGAACTCCCACTGGCAGTGGCCATTGTTGAATCTTCTGCTATCATTGTGTCAGAGATTTTTCTCCCATATTTCTCCCATCAAATTGGCTTGATCTTGCGGGTCATTCAGGTTGATAGATACTGTTCATTGTCATCGTC